ACATAGGGCTTCAGCCGTGCGTCTCCACTGCGTTCGGTTCTCTGCTAGAATCTTCACCTGGCTCCAAGTCTGCCCACACGTTTTCATCTCCTCTTCACATGACCTCTTCCAAGTCACCCTTGCACTGACGACCAACTCACCGCTTCCCTTTCGGGTTCCACTCGAGCGATGGCTTGTCTAGTGATGTCACTTGATGGTTTCCTCAGAGTATGGCCAATTAATCTCCATTTCTTCCTGCCTATTTGTTTCACAATCGGTTCCTGCTGTGTTGGTTCGCTCATTGCCAGAGATCTCTGTTGCTGATCTTTTCTGGCCAGCCATCTGATCTTGCGTAGTATTGAGCGAAGACAACTGTTAATGAAGGTGTGTAGTTTGTTTGAGATGCTCTTTATGACGCGCTGGCCAAGTCTCTGATCCGTATAGTAGCACTGACTGACTTCACATTGGAGTTGAAAATCCGGATCTTATTTTCACTTTCATGCTGAGTGCTGTTGACCTCCACACAGACTTGAAAGTAGTGAAAGCTTGTCTTGCTTTTCCAATTTTTGCTTTGATATCCTCGTCAGTTCCGTTAGCCTGTAGTTGAAACGATGCTTTCCAGGTAGGTAAAAGAGGTTGTTTCTTTCAGGTTCCTTCCATTTATGCTGATTGTTGTCTGTTGTCGTTGTTGCTGTTGGTGGTGTTGCCCAGGAAAGTTCATCACCTACCTCTGTTTTCTCTATGTTCACCTGAAAGTAGTCGTATCTTTGATGCTTCTTCTGCCAACTTGTTGCTTTTCACTTGCATATCTTCCAGTTTGTGGGAAATCAGACATATATCATCGGCGAAGTCCAGATAGCTTACGCCTTTTTTTGAGACTTCTTAGCTTATCACGGTCTAGTAGTCTAGATTTCGCGGACCCAGTTGACCCTGGTATACTACTGTAACCCATACATTTGACTCTACACGCATTGCATGACATTAAGTCATTTTGTTGAATACAGGATACTCTAGTCAAAACACTTTGTTTCCGAATGAGTCTGTGGATTCAAATTACATTTTTTTTTCATCTCCGCCTTGTTGAAAATCCTACGCAAAATTGTCGAGATTTTTTACTGTGTGGCAACACTACGGATGTTTTAACTTCTTGGTCCCATTTTCTCTATGTGTACGTTTAGTAATTGTATCACTGTACCTACTGGTTTTCTTATTTTCATCCTTACATTTTCTTTTATACTTCCAGATAAATTTACCTGGGTTATTAGAAAACAATAGGGCTTCTTTTATGTTTTAATACTTGAAACTTTAACGCTTCACTAATCCTTTTTTACTGAAATGGGATGAAATGAACATGTGGGTTTTCTGTAAATAATAATGTTTAACTTACCATCTCGTCTCCTTCCAATTTTGAAGTTTATCATGAGAATACCTCTTCTCTCTATTTTTAATTGTGTAAATGATTCGTGGGATTCAACATTTCAGGTGCTAACTATCCCCACCTCTCCATAAATACATCTACCAAGATAAGGGATATCGGTCATCCCAGATTTCGATCGTATAATTCTCATTCAAAATTAAATACTGTGGAATTCAAGCATAACTTCATTTCTAACGTAATGTTCACTAGTGCCATTGTGGTTCTAATTCTGAGTTCCTGGTTAGAAGTGAGTTCGTTCCCAACAGCATCTAGAAACATGTTTATTAGTAGTAGTTATGCATACAAGCTGATGATACTGAAACTAGCTATTATTTCTTCACATTCCGATTTCGAATTATTCAGTCTGTGCTTCAGCTCACAAGGATTATGGAGTCTGCGTTTTTAAACGACTTCTAATCGGACCTATTACCATGACTATTCATTTAGACAACTTGAAAATCACCATTCAGTCATATAAAAGAAAAGGAGGCGTTCAGCGAAGAGACTCTTTTCGGCGAATTCATTCACTGAGCTGTACAATCGCATATGTATACAATCTCAGTGAATGAATTCGCCGAAAAGAGTCTCTTCGCTGAACGCCTCCTTTTCTTTTATATTTAGACAACTCATAAGTTAGAGTAAGAGAATTCGTGGTTCATGAACGTTGACGACACCATACTCCCTAAATGAGTTACCAGTTCTGGACATCAAGTCAAACCACTAGTGCTCATCTAGATATTATTTACTAGGTTATGGGTTTCTTAACTTTTATAAGTATAAGAATAAGAAGATATTTTACTGGAAAGGGGCACTCCATCGACTCCAACTTCCAACGGAAATTCTGTTAGATATATTGCTCTACTCAATAAATTATAAGTAGTATAAATTATACTGACAAGAAAATCATACTGATAGCATTAACTGAAAAAGACAGGAAAGAATTAAAATGTTCTCACCAATGGTAGACAAAGACTAAAAACCATTTCTTTATGAGTACACAAGTTGGGTGTTTTTTCACTTAATCTCAGCGGCTTCGGGGATACCTAGAAGATTTGGAGTAACTAACATCGGACGAACAGGAAGAAAAATCATTGATGATATGTCGAAGTATATTGCAAGGACTTTGCGATTGAAAGGTATGAAAGTCTTCGCTCATCACTCAAAAGATGGTGGACACAAAAAAGAGGTTTTGAAATCAGTTAAGATAATTCAGGTAAAAGTTAGTTCCAGTCCACTACTTATCATCGAAGCCGTAACCATTGAAAGGTTAGAACTTCACCTGAGCACTCAGAAAGAAATGGTCGTCAGTCTTTTTCTACCATACTGAAAAAAAATTTTTTCAATTTATTACTGCAATTAGTTTTGACAATGTTTTTTCATGCCCTTTAATGTATTGTCGTCTTCCTCAGTACTCCTGATCTTTTCAACATAATATTATTCTTATTACTTCGAATCATTCAAGCTTAAAACTCTTTCGTTATATTTGATTCTTTCTGTACACCTTACCAGTGTTTACCTTCCGCTCTTGACTCTTCCGAAGTATATTGAGTCCTAAACCATGATGAAACAGTTGTCCAATGCTCCCTGGTCTTCAGTAGTTCTCCAACTGATGTCACCTAGTGATCTAAACTCACAGCAATCAAATCCCTACAAACTAGTACTAGAAATTTGATATATTGTTCACTAGTGGCTGACTAAGGGGTGAAGTTTATATATATATATATACATATATATATATACATATATATATATACATATATATATATATACATATATATATATATACATATATATATATACATATATATATATATACATATATATATATATATATTAGTTTTTAGAATACAAACATTGTTCCAATCAATACTGTGGTTTTTGTCCAATGCATATGCAGCTGTAGATGAATTTTTTCTAAATTCTTGTAAGCTTGTGTTTCTGTGGGATAATTTCCCTTAGTCGGTTAGGCGTTTTTTGTTCATTCACTTTTATTTTAAGTGATTTGGATGTTTCACCCACATATTTAGTCGGACAGTCAGCACAAGATATTTTGTAAATCACATTGTTTCTGTCCATGATTTTTATGGGATCTTTCAATTGATTTGTTTTATTTTTAATTAGATTTGTCGGTTTAAACGTTGTGCGAATCCCAATATTTTTGAGGTTTCTTCAAATTGCTTCTGATGTATATTTTTGTATGGTATCGTGACTGTTTTTTGCCTTCCTCCGTTTTGTTGTTCTCCGGTTTCTATCTATAGCTGCACATGCATGGGACAAAAACCACAATATCGATTGGAACAGTGTTTGTATTCTGAAATCGAATATAAACAAATGGAAAGAGAGACTTATAACAGAATCTATATTCATTAAGGTCACTCGGCAAAGTTAAACTTTAAGCATCAATAACTACCAATCAGCGTACGTCCTTTTGAGATCCCCTTATAGCCCTAATCCTATTTTTCAATCTTCCCTGAAATCCTTCTATAGAATTTGTGTGTGTCCCTGTAATTGGATCCACAAAGTCACTAGAATGGTTCACTCTGTGATGAATATATCCAAGAGATGACAGCGAGTTATAACCTTTCCATTCATTAGTATGTACTGTTGATCCCTGTTTCACAAGTCTGGTAATAATAGGTATTAAAGTAGTTGACTTTCTGTCTGGTATTCTCTCCACGAATCCTTTCCGTAGGGAGGTGTCATATGAACCAATCACCCAAACATTGTTGGCTTGCTCACGGCCACGGTTGTATTTTTTCTTCAGGAACACAGTTTCGTCCACGTGCACGATGATACCTTCTCCGCCTAATAACGAAGTAGTTCTCTCCATTTTCCAATAGGTGATGTCTCTGCAGTGCTGGTACCAGTGAACTGTTTATACGAGGCTATTTTCAGTTTCAGCAGCTACACCTCCCACAGGCTGTTTTAAAACCCAGTAATTATAAATATACAAAATCTGGGTTAAGGAGAGATGCGACCTAGCAAATATGTTCCTACGAAATATTAAAATTATCAGCTCACCTTCCCTAATACTAACTCGTCTCAAACAAATTGCACAACGATGGACATATCCATCAATCGACCTGCTAAAGCTTTTTAAACTCATAACACCACCACATGAACAAATCCTCTCCTTGCTAAGCAATCCCAAATCCACGCAATACTGCAAAACCTTATCCGCCTCGAACTGCAAGCGTAAGTTCGTTAGAGCATGCATTTGATACGAATCAAGCGCTATACAACCTTGAACTCACGTGCATGAACCTCATTGGACCATTCGAGGTAATTCACTGATTGGCTAGTTAGTAGTGCCTAAAGTTTAACTTGGCTGGTCACACCGGATACACAAAAATGAATGGACAAATAAATGGACTATATATTTGAGTACAAATCAGAAATGTGTGAATTAAACAAAAACAAAACAATTCCAACAGTTGGTGAGAACACGGGAAGTAATTTTGCTCGAAATACTAACAATAAGAAAACTTATCATTGTGTGTAAACCATTGAAATATAATTATACTTTATTTGATTTATTCCACAATGCTTAAACTTTTTACTGACATTAATTTATTCTTTTTTTTTTTTTTCAATATCAATTTAGTTTACTGCTGAAGTTGATGGAACTAGTGGTAAATTAACATTATGGCAATTCTTGTTAGAATTATTACTATCAAATAAATATGAGCATATAATACGATGGACAAATAAACGTGGTGAATTTATTCTTGTACAAGCTGAAATTGTAGCAAAATTATGGGGTATGCGTAAAGATAAAAATCATCGTATGAATTATGATAAATTAAGTCGTGCATTAAGATATTATTATCAAAAAAATATTATACGTAAAGTACATGGACGTAAATTTGTTTATCAATTTATAGGCTTAAAACATTTAATTAAATTTTGTTGTACACCTTCAAATTCAAATTCAACTTCATTAACATTAACAAAATCAACAGAGACATTAACAACCCCGTTAACATCAACAGTAACAGCACCAATAGCAACAACAACAACAGAAGAAGAAGAATTATTATCATCTGATAATTTACAAGAGACATTGACACAATTGAATAAATTGGCGTCAAATTCAAAAGCCATACATGATGATTTTGATGACGCTGTTGCCAATGTGGCAGTAAATCCTTCATTATATTGTTCTAATAAATCAGATGACATGAACAATCGTCATTATCAACCAAAACAGCATCAACACAAAGAATGGCATAACTTACCTCATAATAAAAATAATAATAATAACAATAGCAATAAATTTTGTGGAAATCAACTGGACTGCAAATACTCCAGTACTGTTAGCACCCCTCCAATTCCTACTATTACTACAACTGTTACTAGTACTACTATCAATAATACCACCCATTCTAATGTCAAAAGTACTGATGAAGGCGTATTTAAAATGTTATCTACAGAAGATGAAAAAGTGTCAAAATTAGATTCAATCCATCTTAATTCTGTTTATTCCCCAATGAATTTAGATATTGCATCAATTTCAACACTTATAAACACCTGTTTAAATAAGCATAACAACTTTGAAACTACTCAGTCTACTTATGACAATAATAAACTAATAATAATTTTCTTTTTAATTATTTGAATAATATAAAATCTATATTTTCTGAACAAAATCAAAGTAAAGCTTCAAATGGATTGAATGAATTAACAGAATTGATTACATCTTGGGCATATAATATGACATCACAAAGTAATCCTTATTTCAATGATTATCAAATAACACAAAATCATAACAGTCCATATAATAATGGATTAAATCAATTCGCATATCAATCAACTGAACAGATCAACTTAGAACAACAACAAAAAACACATCAAAGTCTACCTTCAACTGTTGATGATACAAGTTCTACAAATATCCGAAATGATCCAATAGTGTATAAAGATGATTATTTTAAAAATTATAAAAATATTAATAACCATTTAATGAATTCAATCAGTTTAAATCATACAGATTTTATAAATCCGTGTGAATCAGAATTATGGAATAGACATAAAGATACCTGGATGAATCCTGTTCCTAATTCAACGCCAACACCACCACCACCAACACCAACAACAACAACAACAAGAAGAGAAGAAACACCATCTGAAAAGATACCCTATGTACAACAATTCAATAAGACAGAACGTTGTCGTTCACCTAATTGTCATTGTAGTTGTCATTTGCCTACAACAAAACTTGAACAGAACTATTCTACAACACAAAATTCAAATCAGCATACTCCTTATTCCCTTTCATTAAAAGATAATATTATGGCGAAGAAAATCAATGATGCATTATATAAACAAAATAATTTAGATGAATTACCAACAAAATTGCATAATGAACGTCATACAATAAATATGAAACGTTTGGGGGAGCAATTGACACGTGTGAATCGTTTAAATGCAGCGGTGAGTTACTCAAATCATCATCATAATAACAATAATGGCAGCAATACCTACTTACCAGTGAGTAGTGATCCTACAAATTTGAACAACCAAAGATGTGAATATAATGTTAATTATGATGATAGTAATAGTAGGGATTACCATAAAGTGCACACAAGAAATCCAGCTCCATCTGAATTGAAGACACCGCCAGAGGTAAATACTACTTATAATAATAATAATAAAAGTAATATAACTAGTCCATTAGGTTTGTCTTCAACATCACCAATGTCAGATAGTAAATGTGTATGGATGCCTGTACCTGTAACTATGCTTAATTCATGGTTTAATTTATTATCAAATATAACATGTCCTAGTAATAATGACAATACTACTACTACTACTAATAATAATAATAATAGTAATAATTCTGTACATCAGTCTACTTTTATAGCACCTTGCACAACATCATCATCATCATTCACATCTTCAGTATACAATCAATAATTAGAATATACTTGATATTTCAATGTTCAATAAGTCAAAGTGACAACAACAAAAAAAGCACACCTTCATTTGACTTTTATTTTTCTTATAAACTTGCATTTTATGCTTATTTTATTGATGAATTTCAATGTACAATGTTTTTATTTATCCAGGATTTTGTATGTTTTTGAAAAAACATTCCAAAATTCTTTTCTTTGTATACTTCAAAATTGTATCACAATTGTACATTGAACATAAATATTTTTTGTTTAATTTCACTGAGAATTACATTTATACGATAATAGGCAAGAAGGAAAAAAATTCTTGTCTTAAGAAGACAAGAAATTTATTGCATTTTTATTTTATTTAAAAATAATAATAATACTAGAAACTAACAGTAAATAAGTTTTCATGAATATTTTTGATTTATTTTCTGATTTTCAAGTATTGGTTATTTGTAGGGATTTTGTTTGATTGGTTGGAGGATTTCATCATGAGCTAACATCAGTTAGAGACCCATTGGGAAACCAGCTGGGAGTACTGGACAGCTGTTTCGTCAGCCTAGTTTGCGACTCTTCATCAGTACGCACCCACCACCAGGGTTCAAATCCAGGACCTTCTCGTTACAAGGCTAGCGAGCTCGTAGACCATTAAGTCACTGGGACCCGATTTGTTTCGACTATTCTAAGGGGAGAAAATTCACATATTCTATTGTTATCATCATTATTATTCGTGGAACATAGCAGGGCGTCATTGTATTCTCTACTGCTTTTCTTAGCTGTCTCCACAAATGTCTACAAGATTTCATTTGCTATTCATATGATCTCCACTATGTCAATATCGAACGACTATATCATCATATTCCATTAAGGTTTAATTTGATGGCCCACTTAATGTGTGATTTCACTTGAAGGTCATCTCAGCCCATATCCAATCCATCTCCATTTCTTTCTGCATATTTTCTGGGTAATAGGTTGTTGACTTGCTCGAATTCCTTGTTTCTTAGTCTTCCCGGCCAACGATCCGATCTTAAACATCAAACGAAGATAGGCTGATTGACTGACTCAGTTTCAACGCATAACTTTACACAGAAATGCAGCAGTTCAGGTTGACACACTCCATGCAGCACACAAGAAGCGAAAATGGGTGTTGATGAAAGTCTTTAGCCTGTTGGAAAGGCTTTTTGTGACGCGAGTGACAAGTCTTTGAAGCATATAGAAGAACTGATTTGAAATTAATATTGAAAATCAGGAATCTTGTTCCTTATGTTGAGTACAATACACCTCTATGCGGATTTCAAATTAATGGACGTCTGTCATGCTTTCTGATTCTTACTTTGAAATCGTTATCTGTACCGCCTGTAGTTGAAACGATGTTACTATGTAACAACAGAAGGCAAGAGTCAGGCAACAGATCATTTATTAAGGAAATCAACGCATATTTATATATTTTCATGTACATTACTATGGATATTTAAGTAAACAAACACAGTCTTCCGATTGGTTGTTTCTCACGTAAAGTTAATCTTTCATCTATTTGTGACTGTTTCTTGAATGTCAAATCCTCTATATGTTAACTGCATCCGCCTACGCAAAGTCTGCTGTGGTCGGTTTTTGAATCAATCTTTGTTCACATTTTCTCACGACAAATCTTGGGAACATAAATATTGACGTAAATTACTGTCTACCAATTTGGCTAGTAGACAGCTCTCACCACAACTATAGTAAGTGAAAGAAGTCACTTCCTTCAGATTTCTCCTGTTGATAGTGTTAATCTTGTTGTTGTTAGTAGGGAGAGGGGTGACCGAGTATCTTCACCACTTCTGTCTTCTCTATGTTTACCCAAAGTCCTGCCTTTACTGCCTACTTTTTCTCCAAACTTGTTGGTTTTCCCCAAGTTTATGGACCGTATAGAATAATATATTTAACGTTAGTGTTGGGAATTCGGTTCTCAGTCCTTATGTTGTAGATCTCCACACCGATTTCAGAGTAATGAACACCAGTCTTCATTTTAAGTTCTTGACTGGCTTTGACATCCTCCTGCATGCCACTTGGAGCTGAGACAGTGCTGCCAATACCTGGTAAGTTAGACGCCTTCCTTTAGATTTCTAACAAATTATGCTTTAATTTTGTTCATACGAAGTGTTGTTCAAGTCTCAAGATGCATGGTTTTGAAGGACGGTGTCTGCACATAACTAATGAAGTTTGTTCATTCAAAAGTTATCACTGTTTCATACAGTTTTCTTACAGAAATCTAAGTTTCAGCTTCATCAGCTTGACATTTTGAAATTCCACTAATCCTAACTGATCAGCTACAGTATTGTTGGCTATATTCTGACGGAGTGTAATCTGTCAAAACTCTACAAACGACTTATAAGTGATAAGTAGTTTATCATTAATTAAACACGTCACCACTTCAAGTAGAGCAGAACAATATTAACAGGTATAGTCTATCTTTTCGCCCTAAACCTACTCATGCATACATGACTTCAAAGGTTTTGTTGGGGAATTTTTATTGATTTAACTAAGTGTGGTAGAATTTTCTTCCCAAAACTAAAATGACATGAACTTAGACGTTTCAAACCAGTGGTTCAATCTAACTATAGGACTTGCAAGAGACAATGTATACGGTTTGATATTAACAACAAAACCTGATTAATAACTCAGCATCACTACCTTACTATTTAGATTCTGTGACAAAAATTCAGAGGGTAGTTCTCTAAGGTAACGATTTATTTCAGTTTGAACTATAGGATAATATATCAGACGAATCAGTTTTTGGATACAACTTTCAAGCTTTAAGGAAAGTACACATTATTTAAATTGGATGAACATTTATAAAGTGACACAGAAGTCCCTGCATATAGCTTATAATAAAGAAGTCTAATTTAGTTTCCATAGGTGAAAATTCCTTAGTGCTTCTAACGTTTATTTAGTGTTTCATGAAAAATCCCCACTAGAACATTAATAGACAGAAGACCAGTAGTTCAGCGAAGGGTCTCTTTTCAGCAAATTCATTTTCATAGCTGTACAATTGCAAATATATATATGGTTTGATTGCGTGGAGGATTTCATCATGAGCTGACATCAGTTAGAGAACCACTGAAAAACCTGGGAGTACTGGACAGCTGTTTCGTCTTAAATTGGGACTCTTCACAGTAAGCACCCACCGGGATTCGAACCCAGGACCTTCTGGTTACAAAGCTAGTGAGCTCGTAGACTATTGAGCAGCTGGGACCCGATCCAATGGTCCTTGAATTCTAGCCAAATCCCTACAAAACCAATGCTTGAAAATATATATGGCTATTTTGTGTGTGTGTGTGTACATTTAATTTGCCAAACGAGAATACAATTAGTAAGTTCAGATGAATTGGATGTTGATATAAGAGGGTAGTAACAAAAGTGATGAGTTGTCACTAACGATTGTTAAAGAAGAGTTAAGTAATAACATGAATAGTTTTGACAAAAGAGTTGTTCTCAGGGTGTACATGGAAACAAAATAACATATGGAATTACGCAAGAGTTTCAAGTATTTAGAAAAATAAGCATGCAAGCAAACGTTAAGTTAAATCAACAGAGTTGTTACCATGCTAGTAGAAGTGGTTGAATAATTTTCTTTCGTATGCATAGTTCTGGTTCTTCTAACTGAATGGCTAGGGCTTCTACCATGCAAAGAAGACGGAAACGTATTGTCTTTGGCAGGTTGTTCTTCACTTTATAGATTACTTTGAAGCAGGAGACGTTTATTGAGATGGAATGACCAGTGGTGAAGAGATGTTCAGTTATTGCACTCCTTATACGACCACTACTTCCTTTCCGCAACCACACTAAATAGCGTTCTTTGACCCCTTTTGACAGGATACGCGTCGATCGACCGAGTTACGTGGCTGGCTCCACAGCAACAAGTGAGCCGATTTATACATATGGAAGTGGTCAGGTGCGAGATCTTGTCCTTTAGACTTCTGCAGATCGACTGGAGAACACTACTCTCAGTGTTACCACAAAGAAAGTTTTTCTTAAAGAAGTAGAAATTCTCCTCCTAAGGACATCACTAAGTAGGCCACCTTTGAAGTCGAGGTTCATATAAAGTATCTTTTTTGGTACGGATGGCGTCTCTTGCTTTTGGGTTTTCTGACACTTGATGGATAACAGTTTTGTATGAAGGTTTCTTTCAGGAGGTGTAGTTCTTCTTCCAGGGTATCAGAGCTGCAGATGCGGCGGACACGAGTGGCAAGTAGTAGTACCCTCTAATATCAATACCCATTTTTCTGTCTTACCCCCCCTCTTTTTTACTTTGAAAGCGCATAAATTGATGATGAAAACTTAAACCAAAAATTGTAATGCTTACATTTTGGATGCGTCAATCTTATATTATTTCTTCTCTACTACCACTTAAACAGTAAAGTGTGTTATTATTATCATCTATATAACCATTGTAATTTCAGGTAGTCTGCAGCTGATGAGAACCTGTGAAATAGAATGATATCATTTTATACTGCAAATTTCGTCTTCCTTTCTTTATCGAAAAATACCCAATTCATCTGAACTTACTAATTGTATTTTCGTTTGGCAAATTTTATGTACACAAACATACAAAACAACCAAATATATTCGCAAGACTCTTCACTGAACTACTGGTCTTCTGTCTATTTAGTGTTTGGTGAACGGTTTGTGATACTTCAAATAGTGTGTAACGGCAGAAGACAAAAGCTAGGCAACAGATTGCTTATTGAGAAAATCAACAGATATTTATAGATTTTTATGCACATTATTATTCGTTATTGTTAGCAGAGAAGCAACGTCTTCTGATTGGTTGTTTTCTTGCTGAACCTTATTCTCTATTACCTGTGACCGTTTCTCAGAAAATTAAGCCATATATCTGCGAATTCCATTTGCACGCGTTAAGTCCGCTGTGGTTGGTTGGTGAGTTCCTCAAGGTTAAGCTTTGTTATTGTGTTTTTTTTCATGACCCTGATTTGGGACGTAACATTGCTGTCTATAACTTGGGCTTGTCTGCAGCCAGCTCTCAACACAAGTGTATCACCTAGTTCTGAAGCAATACTAGGATTCGGGCACTGCGGTAGAATATAATTTCATATCTAATATAGAATTGGTTCTGAAGTAGCCGATGGATAAAACTTTACAATTCAAGCTTGACTTGCTAACCTAATTAAACGTCATGAACCTTTCTGTATATTATCAAAATTCTTCTGCGCGTGCATTTCTAAAGTTAGCTTCCTTAATGGTGGTCTTTT